AGTTGATGTTGTTGTTGATGTCGTTCTTGATGTTGTTGTAGTTGATGTTGTTGTTGATGTTGTCGTGGATAGTGTTGATGCTGCTGATGTTGTTGACGCTGTTGTCGATGTTATTGATACTGTTGATGTTGATGTTGATGTTGTAGATGTTTGTGGTGTTACATCTATATTAAAGATATTTTTAATAAATAATTTTCTTCACAATTTACTCACTTTTACAACCATCATAACAGGCACATTTATGTGTTAACCGGAATTTGTAATTATTTATTGGTGATTCGCCAAAAGCTTCAAAGTTCTCACTTCCATCAGTTGAACATTGTAGTGTAACCGTTACTTGTTTAAAACCTTCGCTATAACTAATTGAAGGAATACTACCTTTACCAGCTCCTGGATTCCATTTTGCACTGTCTTGTTTTCCAAGACTAAAACTAAGTTGTCCATCCGCGGAGACTAGATAATTTATGAAATGAAGTGAATGAATGAATGAATGAAATATATTGGATTCCTAACCTTGGCAAGCTGCCACGTCTTTACAAGCAGGTAGCTCTGTAAATGGCCTGCAAGGATTGTAACTATATTCTATAGTTTATAAATATCAAGTAACGAATAGTAAGATAAGAAGAAAGTTAGTTTACTGTAATTAGTCAATGCTGGTGGTGTTTTATCAGCATAGGCCGGTTTACCATCTGTTCGACCAACACTTGTTAAATCAATAATACCTTTTTCAGTTTGGTATTTGCAAGGATCAACAATAATAACTGTCGATGTTGTTGTTGTTGTTGTTATTGATGCAGTAGATGTTGTTGATATTGTTGATGTTGATGTCGATATTGGTAATGTTGTTGATCTTGATGATGTCAATGATGATGATATTGTTGATGCCGTTGATGGTGATGCTGCTGATGTTGATGATGTTGTCATTGATGTTACTGATACTGTTGATATTGCTGTTGATGTTGTTGATGTTTGTGGTGGTACATCTATATTTAAGATGTTTTAATTAACAATTCCCTTCACAATCCGCTCACTTTTACAACCATCCCAACAAGCACATTTATGTGATAACCGAAATTTGTAGTTATTTATTGGGTTTTCACCCATAGCGTCAAAGTCTTCACTTCCATCGGCTGAACATACTAATGTAACTGTCACTACTTTTGCACCTTCAGTATAAGTAATTGAAGGAATACTACCCATACCAGCTCCTGGATTCCATTTGACACTCTCTTGTTTTCCAAGACTAAAACTAAGTTTTCCGTCCGCGGAGACTAAATAATTTATAAAGTGAAATAAAATGAATGAATGAATTACATTGAGTTACTAACTTTGACAAGCTGCAACACCTATACAATTAGGTAGCTCTGTAAAGGGCTTGCAAGGATTGTAACTATACTCTATAGTTTATAAATATCAATTAATAAATATTAAGATAAGATGGAAACTAATTTACTGTAATCAGCCGATGCTGGTGGTGTTTTATCTGCATAAGCTGGTTTACCATCTGTTCGACCAACACTTGTTAAATCAATAACACCTTTTGTAGTTTCGAATCTGCAAGGATCATCAGCAATAACTAATGATGTTAAAAGAGCACAGTTAATAGTGATAATAGTTAACCAAAATCTCAGTGTCATCATAGAAAGTTGTTTTTCAATGAAATGAAAGTAAAAAAGTAAAAAAGACAAGATACGTTTCATCACTAGTTATCTTTTATTTTGTCATATTGTATGTTGAAACACTTAAACAAATCTTTCTGTGTTATTACATTACATTGTCGCTCTTTTTACATTACTATATAGAGATAACTAGGTTGTTCTTTGTTCTTGTTCTTCATATCCAATTTACGAAGATTTTTGTTTCTACTACCTGATGGGCGTATGGCATCTCGTTTAACTTTCTGTAATGAGATTTTAACAATATAATTAGATAAAATTACATACTTTGGTGTATTTTTGGAAGATTATATTTTTTTAATATTTATACTATTTTGATATACTTACATATATATATGTTATTTTCTTTGTTTTGCTTTTTTACAGAGAATAAGTGCTGACAATACTTGAATACATTAATCAATAAACATTTACTTTTCAAATGATTCGATATTTTTCTCGTTATGGTTTTCGTAGATTAATACAAATAGTTTTTACCTTTTTATTTCTTCTTGTTCTATTTATTTACATATATCCACATCATACTATATCAAAAGATAAAAAAGAAGTTTGGAAGATTCCACTGTTATCATCCGATATTCGTACACATGATTTTCGTCTTTACCCCAAATCCCGTTCATCAAGAGAATATAATGCTCTACAAATTGATAATATTGCCGAATCAATGTTTCTTCTTAACAACAATGTCGTAGATGATGAACAAGATTATTCTAAACCATTAAAATATTCGCAATCGAAATTTCGTTCTGCATCAGTACCAATCATTTGGCTTGATAATGAAGGTGATCTTCATTGGAATCGTGTAGCACAACGTGAAATGTTAAATTATTTATTAGAAAAACAATTTCTAAATCATAATATTTCATCTTGTTTATCTCGACCATTATTTATTTTAGAACAATGGCCTATGGGACTTTTTAGTCGTTTTCATTGTTTTATTGAACATTTTGGGCAAACTCTGTATTCACCGCGGATGACTTTACTATTACCAAAAGGATTTTTTGTAGGGTTTGCATCAGTAGACGATTTTCAAAAGGAGGGTATACTTCGTTATTATCAGTCCATTTCATTATGTTCATCGTACTTAAATCATCCAGAATTAAAAACACTTTCTGATCATTTACATACTATTGGGCATCGATCATCAGATACAAAAACAGTTACTCATGTTCATGAACTACTTGAACATAATGAAACAACTATTAAATATAAGTATAGTAAAGATATTTGGAAATTTGGTTATGATCATGTACCACATCGACGATGGTTATTTGATAGAAATAGAGAAAACATTAAAGAAACAATTAATTATTATTCACCTGTTGAACTACTTATTGATCATTCAAATGAACATATTTATTATCCAAATAGTCCAACATTGGACTTAAAGAAATGGGTTTCAAGAAACTCACCACAAGCATTTCCAACAGATGTTTTACAAGGTTAGTATAAAAACTTTTCCATTAGTTAGAATCTTTGAAAGACAATCTTGGAGGAGGAAACATGTATGAAATTGTGATCGAACACAATTAATTCATTAAAACCTGAGAATTATGTTCGTTTGACTAAATCTTTGTTTTATCTACCAGTATTATTCAACAATCAAGTTATGTGATCTTGTATTACAATTTTCATCAAAAACAATTTACCATAATGCTTAAAATATGTACTTTTCAAAACAAAAGTGTATCCTTGCCACGTTAATAAAGTTCATATAAATATTCATATCGACTGAAGGTTTCAGAATATAAAAATAGCCATTACGCGTATTTCATAGCAAAACTTTATAAGGCAATCACATAATGATTATATATGAATAGATTTAAAATGCGATTACAGTAATCTTCATTTGTGATCAATTGATTATAAATCCAAGTCTTCCAAAAAGTGTTTTGTTTTAGTCTCATTAGACTCTGGATATATGTCATAGGCAACCTTGAACTGTATCAAATAGCTGTAGGTCTTTACTTATAGATGAAATAGATGAATTTATTGTCGAGTCTTTAAGAAGGAAGGTAAAATGGGTTTAAAAAAACTGAGATATTAATAAATTATATTAGACTCCGTAATTTTGTTCTCCAGGACGACCAATTTTTATGCTTGAATCCAAAATCAAATTGAGTATTATCTAGATATCTTGTCAATAACACTATTCATCTGATCATTATATATTAGTCTTCAAACTCCAAAGTAATATTCAGATTCTATCATATACGGATACATTTTATTCAAGTTATTTGCCACCTTTAAGCTCGATGTTGGCCTATCAAAAGTTCATTAATTTTTCAAAGTGAAGAGAATTTTCTACATAAATTTTCTCTACAAATAGTAGATTATCTAATGAAAAAATGTTCAAGGTGAACAGTGAGTCTCACTTGTATATCGACTTTTCACTATATTTTCTAGTAAGACTTCACTCCATGGGTATAACGTAGGTTTCTAACATTAATTTACAGCTTTATCTATACCGACACTTCGAGAAAATTATCTTCTCTCTATAATCTTACAATTTTTGCATATTTTATAAGCTACTTATACAAATCATATCACATAGATAACTTATCTTAGGATACTAACATTTCATATGAAACCTGATTATATTAGAAGAATTAATATCTTACTTAAATTCTAGAATGAGAATTGACATAATTCTGAAGATACTTTTGTGAATGTATTCCCATTTGTAGATTTAATAAACTGCAAAACATGAACAACAACTTTCGAGAACCGAAACAGTTCTATAGAAAAATATAACATTTAGCAAGCACTACTAATCACTAGAACTATATTACACTTTCATTATATTTTAATAGATATTAACAGCCTATTTTTTTGTTCTAGGAACAACAACAAACTTAACAATATCAGATCACATCTTTTCATCATTTCTTCGTTATATGTTTGTTTTATTTTTTTCTCAATTAGCACCACGTATTCAAACATCCGCTAAATTATTAGCTCATCATTGGTCAGAATATTTCTCAGACAAATATCATAAACCATATAATGAAGTTTTATCAAACATGGCAGCTTTATATATTCGTCGTGGTGACAAATCAACTGAAGATTCTTTTTGGCATAAACATAAACGATGGAGAAATATTTCAATGTATGTTAAAGGTATTATTGATGAAGAAAAACGTCGTGAAATAAAATATACAACAATATTTATAATGACAGATGATAAAATAGTAATGAATTCTATTCAAGAATATTCTAAAGTTGGTTTAACAACTTCAAATACAGATGAATCATATGCACGTCATCATTTATATGGTCGAGATATTATATATAATGTTTTTGCTCCACAATCTTGTTTAGATCCATTTAGTCGTATTGATTTTGATCAGTTTCTAGTCAATATACAATTTATTAGAAGTCATGCATCATTTGTTGTTGGTCACACGGATTCGAATGTTGCAAGATATTTAGAAGAAATTATTTATGTTGATCGACAACATGAAAGAAATGTACAAACACGTACATATGTTATCAATGCACCTGATACACTTGATTAGAAATTTAATTTTTTTGTTTAA